CACATTGATTATACTTATCTGTTATTTCTTTTAGTTCATTTATCAACTTAGCATTGATTTTATCACGATTTTCAAGGTCTTTCACTAAAGTTTCAATATGATCTGAAAGTTGAGCTCGCTGTCTTTCACTTTTATCCACAGTTCTCCTTAAATCATCAACCTCTGTTACAGCACTAACAGATTTATTCAACTGAGTTCTTAGTTCATAGATTTCACGTTCTAATGATCTTCTTTCTGGGTTGTAATCATTTTGTGGTACAGGTTGTGGCGGTGGAGTAGCCATTCTTGTTTGTCTCATTCTAAATTCTTCTTCCATTCTCATCTGCTCGAACTGCATCTTGGATCTTTGTCTGTCTTGTTCTGCTTGTGATAATTGAACACGCAAATCTTCAACTTGTTGGGCTAAGGCTCTCTTACCTCCTTCACTTTGATCCAGCCTTTTTTTAACATGTTCCAAATCTAAATCCATTTTATGTTTGTAGGTCTCCGATGCCAGGTACTCATGCCTTAAAATTTCATCTCTACTTGGTTGATTCAGTAGTGCTGATTTCAATTCAGAAGAGAGGGTATTCATTTCATTGTTTCTTTCTGGAACGTAACGGTCTGATTTCAGGTCATTTTGTATAGCTTGTAATCGTCTTTCTACCCTCATTGTTAAAGGATCTGCAGGTGAAAGCTGTCGTACATTGGAATTGATTTCTCTGAGAGTTTTTCTTGTATCTTGATCATGTTTGTCACGTCTTTCAATCTCGCGGTTAAAAGATTCTTCCATTTTCATTTGATCTGCTGATAAATCACGAACTGTACCATGAATATTGTGTAGTTCCTTTCTCATATCATCAGCAAACTTGACTGATGGTTTTCGTCTTCTACTTCTTCCTCGTGCATTTTCATTGTCACTTAAATAATCTCTATCACGAAAGTCAGCACCTCTATACATTTCGTCCTGCAATTCCTCTCTAGTATGATCAAGTTCATCACGTAATCTGTCTACAGCTGATCTTTGTTCCATACTAATGTCACGATATGATCCTAACATTTTATCCAAACTTCTTAAATTGTGAGTTGTGTCTCTTAGGTTAGAAGTTAATTGTTCAACTTTTCTTCCATCAACGGGCACATAATGTTTACCCCCAACACTCCTGTAGTATTCTTCACTAGTTTCACTAGACATCTTCACATGTGCTTTTATCTCCTAGTACTACCACTAACTGTGCAACCAATTAATTAATGTTTGTGTCTTTAACAACCAGTAATTGGCAAGGGAAATTCAATCAGACAAATCATTTAATCTCATTGGTTTTTAACAATTAATCCACAGTCCACAACACATTCCTCATGACACAAGTACAACCAGTTTCCACTATTCCCATTCAAGTCTTTGACAGTTACATCACTGCCTACTACATACTGAAGCAATTTATTTTCTAAAGTAAAAATTTCCAATTGTCATTTACTTATTCGTTTTTAAACGCGCTAACTCCGACATGTCCAAACAAAAACATATCCTTCCCGGTTGCGTTCGTAGCGCCACCTATCAAAATATTGGACCAGATTTTTCCCACAATTATTATTCAAGTTTTCTTTTGTATTTAATCTCATTTTGAACCTCTTGGGCATTGCAAAAAACCAAGTTAACGAAAATATAATTTTTTTCAGATGGTGGGACGTCTGACTTTCATAAAGATATTATTTTATAAGATATTAAGTTTATTCTCTTGTTTCATGGGCGCTTCCATATTGGATTTTTAATTTTTAAGTCAAGTGCAAGATATCGTAAAACGGATAATATGTAAAAAAAAAAAATATGGCGATGTGACCTGTTTTGTTTGAATTATTAAAATATTTTGTCCGTTACATTTTGTGCTGGGTTTTATCTTGTTCATTTTGCGATTTGATTAACAACCTTGCAAGGAATAGGAATCAAATAAATATTCGTGACAGAATATTTATCAAGTCCCACATTTATAGAACCATTTGATCAAAGGAATAAGGTTGGCGGCTCTTTTATCTTAATTTGTCTATGAATTTATGCCTAAATAAATTTGTTGGTAATCAAAACTATTTAGTCAACGTTTGAATGTACCCTGCTATTAACTATCAATAGTAGATTAATCTTTGAGTGGCATTAATTAAGTAAAGACAAGGAGGAACTGTCTGCAATCATATCCTATTCTTTTTAAGTATGCATAATGGGGTTATGCCCTAGTTACTTAGTAATTGCCCCAGTAATTATAGGCCGCGGTATCTTTCCACATACAAATTTATGTCAATTTTGTGGTATTTCTCAATGCAAAAAATTGAGAGGTGCTACAAATTCTTAGGGAGCTGCGGTGGCTCAGTGAGTTAGACGCTTGCTCGCTAACCTGAAGTTCCAGGGTTCAATCCCGGCATAGGTCGAGATAATACCATTGGATTTTTCAACCCGGTTTCCCCCTGTCAGTGATGCAGGTACGAGGGGCTGACATGTAAAAAGCGTCTAGTTGTTCGGATGGGACAATAAACCGAGGCCCCGTGTGCTACAGGCTGTGCACGTTAAAGATCCCTCGACAGTTGGAAATCAAAAAAGAGCAGGCTAATGCCGCTGTCCTGGCAAAATTTCCCGAATTGCACCCTAAATGGCTTCCATTTTGGTCTGAAATTTCTCTTCGGTAAAATCCTAAGAACCAATACTATTTTGATTATGCTTCATTCAAAACTGATTGCTGAAATGTAATTGTGGGACTTTGCTGAAAGCTTGTTATCGAAATATCAATTTTTTTTTTTTTTTTTTCTTTTTTTTTTTCGAAATTTACACACCTTCCTGAGCCTAGACTGCAGTAGTTGCAGTAACCATTCAACTTCTCTAGACCTTCTGTAGTTGCGACGTGTTCCTTAAGTGTATTATGGAACATTTTTGCAAAACCGGAAATGCCACAGTTCAACATGTGCAAAAACGGGTTTTTTGACCCTGGAAGCCACATTTTTGGGCCGATTTTGCTTGGGTCTTCATTTTTGGAATCTGTGACTAAATTCCGATGTGATATGAGTTAAAAAATTTCAAATTTTCGAAAATTCGTAGCATACATTTTTTGGCCGATTTTCGAAATTTTTGGACCATTTTTTAGTTTTTTTCGGATTAATCTGAAATTTTGATAAAAGATGCATGTCACTAATGTAAACCATTTGACGTATTCAAAATTTTTGCGTCACTTCCGGTTAAAGTGGAAAATTGATTTTCACTTACGGTTGAATAACTTCCGGTGTGATTGAAATATTTCAACGAAATTATGTATATCGTTATTAATCGTAATTCTATGGTCGATTTTAAAATAAAATTTAGTCCGAAAAAAATACTTCGGCCGCCATCTTGATTTGATACTTTTTCATAAAACTCAAAATGGGGCTTCGGGGGAGAATGGGATTGGTCAAATTTTTATGTTGGTGTATACTTTAGTCGATGGCGACAAAAATGTTGGGAATGGATTTTTGAATTTGACTTTTGCTTTTTTGCAACTTCCGGTCGAATTTTTTTCAATTTTTGAAGGCTTGTATCTCGTGACCTTGACCTTTGATGACCTTGACCTTTATAGGGTCAAAGGTCATTGACCTTGGCTATCATTTGATACTTTGACCTTTGACCCCAGACATGTACTTCCGGTTTTATAGCTATCTGTAAAAAGCCAAATTCGCAACTTTGGACTGCTCTAACACGTGACCTAATTAACCTAGAGGGTTAATTTCTTCGGTTTCCTAATGTTCTTCTCATGCACTTTACATAGATATAGAACAATTGCTCTTTTAAAGCAAAATTGAAATTCGTGATTTTTTCAAATTTGAGTTTTGTTTTACCATATTTGTGTCTTTTTGATCTTGGTGTATGTATATCTTATGACCTATTTTATGGAGAACTTTGATATTTGGAATACAACTAGACACTTTGAATATGAATTCACCTATGACAAAAAAACTTATGTGGGCGTGGCACATCCGGGTTGAATCACTAATTGTTTACATTTTGGGGCTGGGGCATAACTCGCATAGGATGCGTTTGTTCAAAAAGAGACTTTGCACACAATTACGTCATCCTTTTGGCCAGTATGTATTAACAGCTCAGTTGTTTCAGCTTTATAGTTTCAAAAAAGGAACGGGTTTTAACATTTGGATATTTTCATTTTTCGATTTTGACCTTTGTTGACTTTTGTTGACCTATATCTTTTGACCTCTATTATGTAGGAACTTGACATTTGGAACATAACGTAACATTTTGAATATTGATTAACTTATTCAAAAAAAAATTGAGTTGGGCGTGGCACATCCGGGTTAAATTACTCATTATTGACATTTTTGGCCATGGGCATAACTCACAAAGTATATATTTGTTCAAAATGGAACTTTTTACACAATTACCTTATATTTTGAGCCACTTTGTCTTAGAATTTTGGTTGTTTCCGCTTCATAGTTCAAAAAAAGGAACAGGTTTTGGAAGTTAAAATTTTCAATTTTTGACCTTGACCTTTGTTGACCTTGACCTTTGTAGGATCAAACGTCATTGGCATTGGCTATCTATTTATACTTTTATATTTGCTGTCCTAAGTCAACTTCTGGTTTTATAGTCGTTAGCAATTTGAAATTTTAATGGCGTATATCTCTTGATCTTGACCTTTTTAGGCCTTCTCCTTTACAAGATCAAAGGTCATTGACCTTGGCTATCTGCTGATACTTTCATTTGTGAGGTCTGACGTCCACTTCCGGTATTAAAATCTTCTAAGAAATGAAAATTTCTCAACTTTAGACTGTTCTCGCGCTTGATCTAATTATCGTGGAAGGTTGATTTTTTCAGGGTCTTTTGCATTTTGCTACATTTGCAAAGTCCCACTCTGTGCCACGTGTGGTTCTAGTTCTTTATTTAATTTTATTTTTTTTATAAATCTGTGATTTTGACTCACAAAATTTCTTTTCAGGGTCAATTTAAGAAGTTTTTAGATTTGAATTGAAAGAAATTGGTTAATTTTTCCAAGATGGATATGGATTTGGAAGGATTTGGAGATTTACTCCAGAAAGCAGAACAACTCACTGCTGAAATGGATAGTGGTACTGATTTGCCTCATGTAGATAGAAATTTGCAACAGATATTAGAAGCTGGAAGTAGATTGTTGTCTAAAACAGCTCCAGTAAGCCAAGATGCAACTGATGTAAAAGCGTAAGAATCAATTTATCCAAATCTTTAACTCTTTTTTTATCTTTGTGTACCTTATAAAGATTATAGTGCTTGTTTTCAGATCCTAAACACAGACATTTATTTATCTTATTGTTTAAATCAAATATTTCTTAATGATCTAACAAGATGTTACAATACCTGTACTGTACATTTTTCTTGAATGTTTCAAATTTCATTTGATCTTTCTAATTTAGGTTTGTCTCCTCATTTAAACATGTAATTAATGTCAATTATTCTCTATTATCAGATCAATTCTACTGGGTTCTAAAGGTTACAATGTACCAAAGATATCTGAAAAGTTAGAAGGATTAAGTGCTATGAAAACCTTTGAACCTTTAGAGCCAGTTAGAGATACAGATATACAAGTAAGTTGCTTTAAAAAATTTAAGAATCAATGTAAGATTTTGAAAATTGTATAAATTTGCTTATTAGATAGGTTACTATTTTGAAATACTATGAACTTACATGTAAAAAATTGTATCCATCTTATTGTTGTATTGCAGGGTTTTTTAAGAAATGAAAGGGAAAATGCATTGTTAGCTGTTATTGAACAAACCAGAAAACATGTAAGTAGGCTAACTGGAGGGTAAGAAGATATTATTTAACACATATAGATATCACCTATAATTTAATATTGATTTCATATGAAGATCAGTTAAAGTACATTAGTTTTGGATTCTTTCGTGGAATCTGACATTGAAAAAAAAATTTTTGATATAGAGAATGCAGTAGGAAATTTGAATGATCAATGTTTTAAGGGTTAAAGCGTTATCAATGTTGTCCAGACATAAATTCCAAAGCATAAATTTGTACAACATAAAATTGTATATAGGCAGTAAAGAAAATAGAAATATTTGAATAAAATCATTAGGATTGTCTTTGAGGTAAGTCACTTGTCTACTTTCAAAATTAAACTTACCTTTAACTTTGTTCATTTGTAGACATTTGAAGAGGTAGAGAGAAGACAATGGGAATCATTAGAAAATGAATGGGAGAGAGAAAAACAGAAAATATTAAATACTTTATTGGGTTCTGGTCAAGAAACCTTAGATTTTCAACCTGAGGCAGAGGTATAAATTTACAGTATAATAATCTAGTAAATAATGTAGTATGCAGTAAATGTTAAATAAGAATTTCTTTTAGCATCATAACTTCCAACAATTTAGTTCCAAAAATATGATATTCTATTAATTGTTAAATTTTCAATTTGATTTTAGAGTTTTATTGGAGATTCTGTGTTTACACAAGGTAGAAGTAATTTAGATCATATAGAAACAGCTTATGCTAGACAGGTAAATCTTTTCTTTTGTTACATCCCGACAAACAAGAACTCTATTCATCAATCTGGTGCCCAGGGTTGTTCAAAGTGTGTATGTTTCTCCCTTGTCTACGTCATTTATGTAAAAAAAAAATAATAGTACAGTGTACTCTGTGACATCTGAGTATTCCAACATTCTGCTTAATCTGACATCATATTCTGGTCCCGATTGATTTCCTTCTTAGGCTAGTATAAAAAACTCTGAGTACTCCGACACTCTGTGTATTCCGAATTATGACACTAATCAGTGGTCCCGACACTCAGAAAAAATCCGACATCTACACATCTTAATCACTTATCGTCAATTAGATAATCGCTTATTTCATTGATAATCCAGATCAAATCACATGAAAACAAAAGATCGCTGAACTAAATTCTGCTGATTAATCACCGCCAATGACCTCGCTTCAAGATCAAGGTCATTGCCTTGAGACCAAATGGCATGGGTACTCGTATCATTCATTAAACGTATAGAACAGAAATATGCAACTTGACCATTCTTTGTTACTTGTTTTATCAAAATTCTCAGGCTAGCAATATTCGTCCTGCGAAGCGTGCCCGTACTGATGTGTCTCTGGATATGAAACAGCAAGCTATTGGACAATGTGAGAAAGGGCCACGCTCTTTGCAGAAATATTTAGCTATGAAATTTGGTTTACGTCGAACAACAATAAGCAGCATTTTAACACGTAAAGAAGAATATAAAAAAAGTTTGCCGATTAATTCTAATAAAAAGCATATGTACGGTAGCTCAAATATGAACAATTAAATAATAGTAACAAATACAACTGAATTGTCTTTTATTATTGTCTTATTATTAGAAGGGTACCGTCTGTAGAAAGTTAGTCACTGAGCTATAAATAGCAACACTTGGCACATGTTAAAAAATGTCTAAACTCTGAGTACTCCGACACTCTCGCTAATCCGGCATTTTGTTGCGGTCCCAGTGTATGTCGGATTACGCAGAGTATACTGTAATCTTATCATAGTTTCTTTTCTAGGATATACTGTTAAAACTATGAGGATCATTGGTATTAATTATTGTCCTTTGTACAATGTGTTCTCAAAAAAGAAATGTTTGTTATTCTATTGTAGGTATATGTATATAATGAACAGGTTATTGAAGGTGGTATCAGACATAGTTTAGTTGATATGTTCTATGAAGTGGCTAAGAGTTTTGATGACAAGGTATTATTATTTAAAATTACTTTCTGTACAATATACAGTCATAAAATAACTGATCTCAAACATAGCAGTAGTAATATTTAATAATGAATTTTTTTGATGTACCAAATAACAAAATGATGACTAGAACATTTCATCAATAACAAGTTAAAGTTCAAACTAAATCTTGAAAGTCTGTTCATATTAATTGGGTTGACTTAAAAGGATTTTAAATTTTTCAATAGTGGCTAAATGTTTGTATTGTTTGAGCACAAAATGCAGATAACAGTTCAGAGATATAATGAATATAATTATCAATTTATGAAGCTGAATTTATTTTATATCATCCAGAATGTAACAGATCTATGGGAGATGATGAAGTGTATGATAGAAGTTCCATTTGGTAGAACAGGAGATTCTATATCTAATATTAGATCTGATAAACGAATACAAGCAGCTTTTGTTGAAAATGCCAAACATTATTTAGAACAAACGTAAGCATCTACTATAGCTTGGTAATTTAGAATTCAGTATTGATGTAACATGCATTTGCTATTGTATTAAAATTCTAATATTTCTATACCTAATGTCTCTAAAGATATACCCTGAAAATCTTGATGTAGATACTTGCAAAGATATTCTGATAAATGAATTGAATTTTTTGGCCATGTTTTGATTTGACATTGCCATTGGAAGTGACGATAGTCTGAAAGTATTTATTTTTATTATTTTATTGCAAGATAACGATTTAGTACTAATCTTAAAAATCAACTGTTGAAGTTTAGATCTATCTGACAATAGTCTTTGAAATCTAATAATTGTCTTAGATCATATTCAAACCAATGATACATTTAATGATGAAAATATTGTAGATATTTAAAGTATATAACAACAACTATTTATGGTAATTTACAACAAGCACAGCTAGGAGGTGTACCTGGAACCTATAATCTTGTTAAAAGTTTTCTGAAAGTTCGACCAGCAGTTATGAGAGAAGCTGAAGTAGGTAAATTTTATAAGCGCACATTATATTGTCTTCACCCATTTTTGTCTGTCCACAATTGCTTGTGAACACTCTAAAAGGCACGAAACTTTGTATGATTGTTTGTAAGCACCCAAGGATGAACCCTTGTTCTTGAAGTGCTCGTAAACACTCAAGAAGGTGCAACTCTTGATAGATTTTGATGAAACTTGGTGTGAGTGTTATCAACCAAAGATGGACCCTATCGAAAATCAGAAGAATCGAAATATAGTTAGTTTGAAGGCTCAATTCTTGGTAGATTTTGACGAAATTATTGAAAATCAGAAAAATCAAACAATATTAAGTATGTGTTATTGCCTTTGTTCTTAAAAACACAAGTTTTAGTCTGTAATCTCTATAGAAGGCCCAATTCATGACAGATTTTAACGAAACTTGGTAATAATATTCAGTATTCAGTATTCAAAAGAAGTGTAAGACTGAAGGTTGTGTATTTCATACTGGTAATTGTTACTTTACTTCCAAATATTTTCATTTAAGATCAAAGCCTCAAGTAGGCATATATTATCTTGGCTGGCAAGCTATTTTTTCAATTTCATTATACCATAATAGATTATTTTGAATATTCCAGGATTTTGTTCTAGATGGCCAACCAGTATGGGCTATAATATATTACTGTATAAGATGTGGTGATCTAAAGGCAGCAGAAGATGTTGTTAAAAAAGCTGCGTAAGTTTATCTTACTCTTTTATTATTGTCTTAATATGTCAAGTAAATTTTGTAAAATTAAAATTTTGAGTAGTTTTTAACTTAAGACTGAGTTTTCAAGTCTTCCTGTGAGAGTTTTCATTGACTCATCAGCATATAAAATTTTTCAGTCACAAATTAGGTGATTTCCCAGCGTTTTATAGAGAATATGTACAGTCTGATGGACATAGACTATCACCTGGTAACTATACTAAAATTAAACTGCAATACAGAAGAGTTGTGAAGAGCAGCACAGATCCATATAAAAGGTAAAGGATTTTTAAGACTATAAGACAAATTTATTGATATTGAAAAGGTTTTTTTTAAAACAAAGACTAATTGCACAATATGTCACTCAAAAAAAATAGATCCAATATCTAAGACACAGATTATTTTTGGATATTGTGGGTTGGTTAATGTACAAATTCTATTAAAATGTTGGAAAATCTATGGTGAAATCTATATGATTTGGCACCCCTAAAGTAGAAGAAGATGTGTTGAAAACATCAGTGTCCTGTCTGTGATGTTATTAAGTTTTTTCTATATTACAATGATATTTTGTAGAGCTGTGTACTGTGTAGTAGGACAATGTGATTCTACTGAAGATCATAATGAAGTATCAGATAAAATAGATGATTATTTATGGTTGAAATTATCACAGATACAGTTTGAACCTGATGAGACTGGCCAGGATCAATTTACTCTACAAAAACTTCAAACTTTATTATACGAAGATTTTGGTAAAGTGGTTTTCTATTTCTTAATCATATATTTGAAGATTCAAAGATTTCAGGAGACATTCTAATCTTTTTTTGTCTCAAATCAAATAATTATTGATTGAAAAGGAAGCTACACTTTTCACAATCAGTGCATGTGAGAGACATTTCAGTCGATCAAGTTGTGTTGTCTGCTTTTCAAACAAAATTTCCATCCTTCCACATTGCATGTTGTTGCCAGCCTTAATAAGAATAAATAGAAAAGGAGACTCTACTTATACCTAATCAGTAAGATTTCATTTTCAGGTGAAAATCATTTCAATGGGTATCAACAACCATTTATGTACTTCCAAGTCCTAGTTTTAACTAGTCAATTTGAAGCTGCTATAGAATTTTTATCTAGATTAGAAAGGCTAAGATGTCATGCTGTACATGTAGCTTTAGTTTTATTTGAATTAAAACTTTTACTGTTGCCAAATAATTCACAGTCACAATTGTGTAAGTACTACCATAGTTTTTTTCGACATTTGTTTGTTCTATTTGATGATCTGTGAAACAAATGATTCAAAATAAATAATTTTCAATGCACATTGATTGTGAGTATTATAAGGGAGCACAGAGGTTCATATACTCTCAATCTGAAATTTAAATAAACAGAAATATAGACAGTGTCTTCAATGAATTGAAATAAAGCTAGTTGATGTACTCTGATTACAGTAACAAAGGATGCTGGAGATCAAGCACCAATGAGAAGAATAAATCTAGCCAGATTGATTATGATGTATACTAGGAAGTTTGAAGCTACTGATTCTAGAGAGGCTTTACAATACTTCTACTTTTTGAGGTGAGAGTCATAGTGTAGAATCATCTGGATTCCTCTGGCCTATACATGTCCTGTTGTCAATTATTTGTGATTGTATTTTTGAATAAGTTAATTTGAAAACCAAACATACAAGACTATAAACATAGTTGCTCAAAAGAAATTGTATCTAGGACATTTGTGAATTTTCCATTCGAGTATTTGCTATCTACCACTACCAAACATTCTGATAAAATCATCGTTTCAGATATGTTTTCTGTACATTTCATCTCATACAGTTACCATGTTTTCAATACACCATCCTGATAAGGACATCATTACTTTTGGAAATGGGGATCAACTACACTTAAATACATGTGTGTGTTGATTTTTATTGTAGAAATTTAAAAGGAGAGAATTTGTTTATATCTTGTGTTAGTGAATTAGTGTTAGAAACTAGAGAGGTAAGGATGTAAATATTACTGATAGACTTTATTGAATCATGAATAGAATTTTACTCAAGTGATATTTATATTATTTATAGAAACTTTGATTAGTGTTCTTGTTCTGTGAAGACCAATATAGTTTGATTTGATTTGACTGTTATTTGTATTTTTTTCCAGTTCGAGATGTTATTAGGTAAACTAGAGAGAGATGGAAGTAGGAAGCCTGGTGCTATAGATAAATTTAAAATTGATACACATAAAATAATTAAACATGTAGCAGAAGATACAGAAACTAAAGGATTATTTGAAGATGCTATTAGATTATATGATTTATCTGAGGTACAACTGGTGTTTTCTTTGTGTACATATGAAAATTGGCAACCATCATCATAGGCAAAAAATTTTTGCCAAAAATTGTTTGAAAGAGGATACAAAGTGCTACAAGATGACTAGATTGTCTTAAACTGCTTTATATTGGTAACATAAGTTGATAAAGTTAAGATGAAGGATGAAGGATGTCTTATCTAAACAGAATGTAGAGTAGCTTTTGGTCAAGGATGCATGCTTTTTTATGTGCCTATTGAGTACCAATTGTACTTATTGATAATTTTTTTTATATTTCAGAATCATGATAAAGCTCTATCATTAATGAATAAATTATTAAGTCAAGTTGTACCTCAGCCTTCATCACCACAGAGTAATAGAGATAGATTAAAAAACATGGCAATAGGAATGGCAGAAAGGTAGGCTCAGTTGTCATTTCATTGTTGTTATTGTTGTGCTGTAACCCTTACAGAAGCACTATTATACAATATGAAAATAAAAAGAATTTTCTCTATCCCGCAATGTGTTGTCAAAAAGACTTGTCACTTGATGTCACTTGACTGCATTTGTTCGTCCAGCAAGTTAGCATATATCCAAATTAATCTGTTTACGGTTTAGGACATGTAAAAAGAGAGAATGTATGTACTTTATCTGCCTTGTAGATAGTTCGGAACTTGTCAGTTTATATGTATGTTCTTTTGTGTACTTTTAGATATAGAAAGATGCAGCACACAGCAACAACTTCAAACACCAATACATTTTATCTTTTATTAGATTTAATTACATTCTTTGATTTATACCATAGTTCTTCTACAGATCAAGCTTATGATGTAAAGATATATTTATTTAGTATTTATGCATGATTTTCAACACATATTAGTAATGCAATGTAAATATTGAATGCTGAGTATACACTTTCATTGCTGATTCATTGTTGTTTTTCACCTGAGACAAATTTTGATATTTATCATGCACTATTGGTATTGTAGAGAAAGTAAAGGTTCTTTTACTGTAACAAAATAGTCCTGGCTATTCTCCTGGCTGTATATATAATTATATATAATACTACAATTTTATTCTCATTACAGGTTTTAAAACAGTTAAAATTACTACCATTAACTGCTGAAGAAGTTGAACATCGTGTTAATACATTCAGACATTATACAGATGAGGTAATATTTTATGTCATTCTGTGTCACTATCATTGAATTTGTCTTGATTTATATATATTATATAATGAATATGTCCCCTTAGCTTGTTTTGTTATTTTGTATCATTTCCGTATTTTGTCTGTATATTAGCCTTCTGTATGAACATGTGAAACAGTAAACTCAGAGACAGTGTTTTAGATACATCTTCTGATTAAACTTACACCCTATATTAAAAAGACCTATTGTATTATGCTTATTAAATATTGTAGGTGAGAAGATGTCTACCTGATATATTACTAGCAGCTATGAATACATTACACAGCCAATATAAAGCTCTCAGGTATGTTTTCCTATGGTATATTTCTATATCAGTATATGATATCCCAAAATTTTGACTACAAGGTAGTTAGTGATGGTAAAAGGCTTCTCTGCTAATGGTCCAGTAAGCCAAATACTATCACCAAAGTGTTGTGATTGCTAAACAAAAATTAAGGTAATTAAAAGAAGACACCATTTAATGCAATGAAGGGCATTTTAATTCAGGATTGGCCTGTTTGGTAAATGTTCTCCTGAAACTCTTCCATCATGTAGGTCTAGAATGTTCTTAATTTCTAACTGAATTATTATTTGAAATTTTAACATCTATTTTGTAGAAATTCTGGTATTAATAGTCCTATACCTGGTCGAGGTAATCAAATTAATGATGGTGGTAAGGAAACAGTAAGTAGTGCTTGTTGACTGTTCTTACTAACACCTAGTTCTTACTTTATTGTTTTCATTAATATATTATGTTGATTTCACTTGATTCTCAATCATAATATTTAGATAAAAATAATATAGATTAGACTCCAAATGATTTGTATTTTGTTCATCATAATCTACTGTTGTTGTTTTTTTGTTCTAAAGTTTATTTTTATATTTAGATATTGTATAATTGTGACTACAATGCGCACACCTGCTCATTTTAGTTGTAGACAATTGTTTATGTTTATTTCAGTATTTGAATTATTTACGAAGTCAAGCTCGTGTCTTAATAATGTTTGCTGGTATGTTACCGTACAGACTACCTGGTGATACTAATGCCAGATTAGTACAAATTGAAGTACTCATGAATTAAGTTCTAGAAGTGTTAGATTTTTAGAAAGGCCTTATATGAATCATGATAATATGCTGATTGAAAAAGACAGCTATTGAAAGATGTTAGTAACAAAAAAAGTATGCTTTGCATTTCCTAAGAATTTTTACTTTTTTATTGGAAATTGAACATGACATTAAAAGACAACTCCTCGTGTGTTACACTTCTTGAAGAATTTTGAACAGAATGCTAATTATGGAATTCAGTGTTGATAAAATTTCATATTGTTATTATTAACATCATTCAGTCATTATTTTTGTATGAAATCAGTTGATACTGTATTGTTGAAATATTTTGTTATGTACTATTAAAAAGAAAAATAAATATTAAAAAACAATTGTCAGTGTTGATATTTATGACATTTGAGTAGCTGTTTGGCTATTTCACAATTCATTTGCAATTATGGGGCACTGGAAAATTTTTTACTAAGAGCCTAAGAAGCTTGATAAGGCATGGATGAAACTTGATTGGAATTGTGGTTTTGAAAAAAATCTGTGATTATTTTATACCAGATTTGTCTACCTTGGATAATTTCTAAATTTTATTTTATATATATATATATTGAGTGACTTATGGCAGTTTTATATCCACATTATGTATATAATGATATGTAGGATATAAAATTAACATAAGATCATCATAAACTATTACATTAACATAATAAAATATTGCATTTTATAAGAGTTTTATTCTTATCTTGATTATAAAGCCTATCAGTAGTTGAAACTTAATGAGAGACTTGTCGCTGCTGTCGCTGTCAAAACATTTATTTTGAGTTTGATTAAGTATCCGTCTTACATTGCTAAGTTTTGATCCGCAATAGAAATGTTTCATGACTTCATTCAAGTTTTGGTTGTCATTCAAGTGCTGACATGTTTGTAAATTGAAATTTATTAAAACTTGTTTTGAATTTATGTATTACGTATTACAGGGGGGGCTAAATTTATTTCACAGTGTGATATGGAACATGAAATTGATGTTAAAATGTTTGATAGTGTTAACTAATTTGATTTCATATGGCTGATATGAAATGCCTAAATGTAGAGATGGAATCAAATGAAATTCGGTATGTGTATACATATTCATAAAATAAAGATCATGTTCGAATTTGAGCTATTTTCGACCGTTAGAAGCAGAGATATTGCCCTTGCCCCAAAATCTTGAATATTTACCATCCGCATGACGTGGTGGGTGTGTATGGCTGTGGTCCACTATCTTTAACCAACCTTTTTAAAATAAATTCAGTTTAATCAAGACAATGCATAATTTAGAAATATTTTCAGGTTTTATTTATAACGTTTTTGATCATGAAAATGTTATACATAAAAACTGCCCCCAATATTACTTGTAACACCAAGAAAAGTTTAAAAATGAATCAGTTGATTTATACGGGTTAACATAATTTTATAATGATATTAATATTAAAAGAAATGATTCAACCACAGATATTAGATATGATGAGATGAATGATCAAGTCTGTTAGTCTGACCCACTGACATGTGAAACATTATTTATGATTGATAACTTTAAATTATCATGTTATAGCTTAGATCACTTAGTTTTCATCTCAAAATGGACTTCAGTTACAAGTCTTAAACTTTTATTACCTAATTTCTTTTAAATCTATGTTGTCTTTGATAGATAGTATTGGCATATGTTGCTTACTCTTTTCCTGATGGTGCTTCTCTTTGGATGAGTCCACTGATATACTTTTTTACTGCCGATTTTGCCATTCTTTGGATGAGATATTTGATAGACTGAATTACCTTGCATGTAATGTATGGATTTTTATTTTAGAATCTAAATGATTCTTAAACATGAAAAGTGTTATACAGTTATGTTGAATATCTAAGACTTTTTCTCTATCTTGTAGTTTTTTAAAATGATACAGGATTTTGACATGACATTGCTTGGGTTACATGTAATAAGAAATTGTCTAGTATTGTTACACCTTAATTTGTCATTGGGTTTATAAATTAATTTGATGACTAAATCTGTCCAAATCTGCCGTTTCTATATCCTTTTCACTCAATTAGTCTTGTAAAGGACAAAATTCTCTGCCAGTTATGTTTAGTGTATCAAAGGTATTGTACAAAAAGGATTCCATAAAGGTGGCTAATTCTAATAGCTATGTTATACTCCATGAGTGACAAAATCACTACTTTGTCAATTTATCTTAGTATACATGTTTAGTAATCTGTAATGTGAAGAATATAGACCTGCTGGGTCTTGGGTTGTCTGTTGAATATACTCCTGATAAATCAAGTAAAAACCCAATTTTTCTAGTTAAGTTATGAATTTTGATTTTTCTACAATGTCAATTAGTCTTTTTCAATAACAATTTTTTTTTTTTAAATATTCAGTATAAGTTATTGCCCTTGTTTTTGAAAACGCATTCAATTTTTAGATCGTAAACACTCCAGAAGGCACAATTCTTGACAGATTTTGACGAAACTTTGTGTGAGTGCTTGTAATCACCCAAGGATAAACCCTATTGAAAATCAGAAAAATTGAAAAATATTTAGTATGAGTTATTTCCCTTGTTCTTGAAAACACGTTTAATTTTTAGCTCGTAAACACTCTCGAAGGCACAATTTTTGACAGATTTTGATATTATTCAGTATCACCTCAAAAAGTTCCAAAGAAGTGTATGTCTGAAGGTTGAATATTTCATACTGGTAATTGTTATTGTACTGCCAAATATATTTATTTAAAATCAAAGCTGCTAGTGGGCGTATATTACCTTGCCTGGCAAGCTATCTTTTAGCTCATAATCATTCTAGTTTCTAGATGGCACAATTCTTGATGGATTTTAATGAAACTTGGTGTGAATGTTCATAATCACCCAAGGATAAACCCTATTGAAAATCAGAAGAATTGAAAAATATTTAGTATGAGTTATTGCCCTTGTTCTTGAAAACGCTTTCAAATTTAGCTCTTAAACACTAAAAGTCATGATTCTTGCTGGATTTTGACAAAACTTGGTTTTATTTTTCAGTCCCGCGCTGAAGATTGAATATTTGCCTTCTAGAGTTTTCACGAGCTAAAAATTGAACACTTTTTCAAGAACAAGGGCAATAACTCATACTCAATATTATTCAGTATCGCCTGAAAGAGTTCAAAAGAAGTGTATGACTGAAGGTTGAATATTTCATACTGGTGAATTACTGCTAAATATTTTTAACTAATAAATTGAACTATAGCAGCACTTCAAACATTATGATACCTGAGAAAGCTGTATACTTCCAGTTGAAAGCTATGTCTATATTCAACAAAAGGTGAATAAAAACAATAAATACTGATTAGAAACTAATAATGAATACTGACAATAATTATTGGATTGATAGATCTTTCTATATAGTTCTAACTTGTAAAGATAATGTAACTTTGATCATGGTGCCAAAACATAAGGTTTCAGACAGCTGGATACCCTACATACTGTAAGATTTCAACCACTGATGAACTTTCTATATATCTTTTAATGTTTTAATATAGTCTGACTAGAAACATACCTTAGTATAATAACCCTAACTAACTGCATGGCTGACCACATGTCAATGTTTGCTGGCTAATAATTCAAAACTTTGCTGACATGATGTACTTTTTTAATTTCTATGCTTGAAATAGATTCCTGTATGTGAATGAAATATTTTGGTAATTAAAGGAAAGAGTAGAATTTTCATAATTGTGTTTTATTTTCTAATGTTACGTTTTACTTTTAAATGACTTTTCCTTTTACAGTTAATGGTTTTTTATACATTGGACAAAGTATTCAGGTGACCAGTTTAAAGATATGAAATTGCTAAATTTAGTTGTTTTGATCATATTGACAAATAAATAATGAAAATTTGATCACACTAATATCTCAAATATTTTATTTCAAAATTTATAGTTATTTTAAATATTACTGACTTAAACCTAGATTCTGTTCATTTTAAGGTCTTGTAACTTATCATGAATACACAAATTATAATTAAACTTTTGATCATTAACAATAAACAGATATATTGAATTGATGCGATTAACCTTAAATGTTGACCATTGAATTAATTAATATTCTCTATAGTTTGATACATGACCTTTTGCAAACAGCCATTTTGTCACAAAGCTGTATTTATTCAGCAAAAACTGCCTGAGATTTAATATTTTGAAACAATATTCAGCCTGTTAAGGTTAATATGATTAGTGTCAAATTCAAAATAAGACTATCACTCAATCTCTCTATTTTGTTATCAAATGATAATAATGATCTGTGAATGATCCAATAATATACTGACTCAAAAAGTTTTACTAGCAGTCAATTCAGAAATGATTTGGTTCTAAATAGATATAACCTACAGAAGACAATGATCCAAGCCAACTGTCAAACTGCTATAACAATGTAGGCCTTTAATTGCTTAATAGAAACATTATTAGCTGTTATTTACGCCATTTAGACTCCCAATTCGACATCTATAGTTCTAGAAATTCCACAAACCCATGTTGTTACCCTCACAAAAGCCACCCAGGACATTCAGAGACTAGAGAGACTTTTCAGTTCATCTGAATTGGAAAAAATCATTTCGGTCAAGATGTGAGCCATTCTAGATTATTGGCGTTTAAAGAGTCTGCAACAAATTGAGAATTTAATGTTATTACCCTGAAAAGACATTAACCTAATTTGAAATGTGAGAGAATGGTGTTGAGGTGAGATAGATCACTGTACAACATCTCTTAACAGCTTCTCTTAAAGGTAACTTTTTCTATATTAACCAACTCTTTTTTTACACTATGTAAAAGTTTCTCAAAGTAGCCATTTAATCAAAGCCTTTGTGTTTGCCAAGATAATTTTTCTGTGAAGATACATTTTCCTGACAAGACCAATCTATTTTTATTTTGTTGCAGGTTTCATCTTGGAAGTTTTAGGAATTATGCTATTTTTTAAAGGTAGCTTGTTTGTATTCATTTCTATCTTCTTTGATTTACCTACTGGCACCAACTTC